ATTTATTTGTGAAATAGCACTGATCATTACTTTGCTCTGATGGTTGGCTGCCTTTATAAGTCCATCTTGATTTGACTGCAAGCTGCTGATGTCTTTGTATACCTCGTCGTTTACTCCAAAGACTGAGGTAAGTAGTTCTCCAAATAATCCTCTTTTCCTGCGAGTTTCTGTTATCTGCATGCTCTCTTTCACAAGAAGAATCTTTTTTTTCTTTCAATTAAGTGCTTGGACAATAGTTCGCACTGGGTCTCCTGGGATAGGACCTTTGTCTTCTGGCACAGCTGCTGGAATTCTTCGATGATTCTTGAAGCATTTTCTACATCTCTGTTGATTCTTTTCTTGTCTATATTTATTTGTAGTCGGAACACCACTCTGTTTATCCTTGCTACTCCTATATGCTCCACATATATGCCTTTTTGCGGATGATGAATCGTGTAGTTTGCTTCACTGGTCGGTGTCCATATAATGAACATTGCTAGTAGGAGGAATTGACAAACTTTGGTCGTGCTTCTATTTTTACCGTTATTTTCTCTTACGGCTTTTTCATTGGCTTCTAGTATTTCCTGTGTTGGTTCGTTTGTTTTTTCTTCTGGCAATGGAATCAAGCTAGTGATGGCCCGTTTTAGTGTTGTGTTGCCTTTTCTCAATGTGACAACTCGGATTAGCTCATCTTTGCCAGGATGAACTTCTATTATTCTTCCTAGCGGCCATTGGGCTGGATTTATGAAATATTCTATTATGATGACGATTGTTCCGACTTTCAAATTATCCTGAACCGTGTCTCACTTGTACCTCACCTGTAGTCTGCTCAGGTACTCAGTTGACCAAGCCTTCCAGAAATCTCTCTTCATTTTTTGCACCAATTTCCATCTATGGGAATGGCTAGGATTAATTTCCGTGCTTATCGGGTCTGGTGGTGATACTATCGGTCTCCCTATTAGAAAGTGTCCGGGAGTGAGTACCATCGAATCATCGACGTCATCACTAAGTGGGCACAAGGGTCTCGACTTTAGGCAGGCTTCGATCTGATGCATGAGCGTAGTTAACTCTTCATAGGTCAGAGTGGTTTCGCCAATCACTCGTTTCAGATGATGTTTCATTGATTTTACACCCGCCTCCCATATTCCTCCGAAGTGAGGTGCTGTTGGAGGGATGAAGTGCCATTGTGTACCAGCTGTGTGTATTACGTCCATGACTTGTGATTTTTCTATCACTTCCTTGACTTCACTTTCTAACTGTCGGGCAGCGCCGACGAATGTTGTCCCATTGTCGCTGTATATGTGTGAGCATTGTCCTCTTCGGGCGGTGAATCTTCGAAACGCTGCCAAGAACGTTTCCGAAGACATATCGCTTACCACTTCAAGGTGTATTGCTTTTGTGGCAAGGCATACAATTTAACTTTATATGAACAATTGAAAGAACTATTGACACGTCTATTATTGGTTACGTAAACAAAATGCAGCTCATCATCAGTCGTTCTCTAGAGACCATGAACTGCACACTTGCTGAGAGAATTCAAAATCATTTAGTAAATCTCTCTAAATTGATAAAAGACTTGGACTTTTACCAAGAAAAACAGTTACTGTTCAAAAATTTTGAAAATTTAAAAATGGATTCGAAATGGGATGGAGTATTTTCATCAACTTCCAGATTTGCGAATGGATCAGCAACAAGCAATCGGAAAATTGTTCCAAAACCAGTTTATCAAGAATATAATATTGGAGACATTGTGCAAATTATTTATAATCCTGAGAAAACGTACATTGTCTTACATAATAAGAACGACACTTCAATTCAATTTACCTACAACGAATTTGAGGAATTTTTACAGTTTTTCGATAATATAAATGATGGATGGTATGATACAAGCTTCTATATTGGCGAATTCATTTACGTTAGCTATTGGAATGAGGAAGAAAGTAAAGGCTTGACTATGGTGGATAAGCGAACAATGAAAAACATTTATTGGAATGAAAATCATCTTGATTCAATTTTAGAGCATAAATATAACTTGTATGATATTTTTCTTAGATAAAAAAAAAAAATTCAAACTTGTTCTTTTTCTATCCTATAGCAAAACCCACAATAACTTGTGGGTTAATAAAACAATTATTAGATAATTATAAAAATTCGTTATCGTCGCAGGAAATGCGGCTTCCCTGTGATAAGCACGATTAAGCAAGTTCGCACACAACTTGCTCTTCTTGTTGTTGTTTATGAGAACGGTAGAAATTATAATTATGTTAAAAATAATATTTGGGGCCCCCCAATTAAATCGTTACAAGTCCGTCAAAAATGGGGCCCAAATTGGAGCACTATTTTTTCAATGATGATGATGATGTTGTCTTTTATGTGACCATATTTTAGTTTAGAAAAATGGGGCCGACGACGACGACGAAAAAAGGGGGCCCAGTACGGTGTATCTTGTTACAAGTAACGGGGTACCAGGTACGAGGTACCAGGTACGAGGTACCAGGTACGAGGTACCAGTTACGAGGTACCAGGTACGAGGTACCAGGTACGAGGTACCAGGTACGAGGTACCAGGTACGAGGTACCAGGCACGAGGTACCAGGTACGAGGTACCAGGTACGAGGTAGCAGGTACGAGGTACGCGGTATCAAATTTCAGGTTATGAGTTCTAGGTACGTTGTACAAATTTCAGGTTACCAGCACGAGATATGGGACATCAAATTTCAGGTTATGAGTTCTAGGCTACGTGCACCTCAAAATTTGGGGGCCTGTATTGGTTCCATATACGATGATGGATAATGGGGCCGCAAGTCTAGCTGCGGAGACAAGTGGCCCCTTTCCGATTTTTCCCTAGATTTATAGAAATTTTATTGGCAACGTCGCACATTATTAGTTTCGACAACGTCGCACGTACCTGTCATCTCGTATGGGGTATCTCATTTCAGGTTATGAGTTCATGTAAATGGGGCCTCCGAAAAAAAAAATGGGGCCACGGGTCTAGCAGCGGGGACAAGCACGTATGGCCCCTTTGCTATCGTCACTTGGGTTAGGTCTATTCAAATTGGGGGCTTGCTACTTAGGTTAGGCCTCTTTAAATTGGGGCTTGCCAAAAAATGGGGCCCACGAAAAAATGGGGCCACGGGTCTAGCAGCGGGGACAAGCATGTGGCCCCTTTGATGACGTCACTTGGGTTAGGCCCCTCCACTTGACGAAAAATGGGGCCCTGGAATGGGGCACAGGCCCACCTGGGTTAGGCCCCTTCAATTTGGGACTTCTCTGATGACGGGCACGGGCCCCAGAACGAGAATGGGGCCACTTCCGGTCTAGAACCGGCTCTGTATATCTACTTTGAGACAATTTTTTGAAATGGTTATTTTCGTGATTTGAAAACATTCCGATCGTCGTTTGTTTTCGAGTTATTAACCAAAACTTTCTTATTTTTTATGGTGGCCATCTTCGATTTCAAAAAAATAATATTCTGCGAAAAAAATCCTTTAAAATGATGCATTTATTACAAGCTATGAAAACACTTTGCAAGTCCTTCAAAATTACAGTTGGAACCGATATTTTGCTAAATTTGGCAACAATGCTCATAGTTATAAGAATAAAACCAAAGAAGTATGATTTAATACCTAGAAGCGGTATTTTTGAAGTCTTCTGGCAATTTTACTGGATAAAGAAAAAATAAGTAGGTATGGTATTCCACATGTTTTTTTTTTTTTGTAATGTGAACAACATAAATTACAGCTTTTCCACCTTTCTTCTTTCGGTTTTACGCCTCGGGAAAAATTATACCAACGTGGACTGACAGGACTATCAGTCCACATCACAGATAAAGAAGCCAAAAAAGCGACCCATCGTAATATTATTGTCTTGATAAAATAAAACTCGAATTAAAGAATATTTTATTAAAATAATACAAGGTCGAATAGACTCTCAAAAACCGAAAATCTGAGAGTGCAAATTCGTCCTTCACGCAAAAACACGAATTGTATCTGGAATATCCAAATTCGTATAGTTTTTCCCGAGACGTAAAACCGAAAGAAGAAAAGAGGAAAAGCTGTAATTCATGTTGTTTACATTACAAAAAAAAAAAAAACATGTGGAATACCTCACCTACTTATTTTTTTGGAATCCAGTAAAATTGCCAGAAGATTTCAAAAATACCGATTCTAGGTATTGAATCAAACTTATTTAGTTTTATTCTCATAACTATGAGCATTGTTGCCGAATTTAGCAAAATATCGGTTCCAACTGTAATTTTAAAGGACTTGCAAAACGTTTTTATAGCTTGTAATAATACATCAGTAGTATAAGACGCGGGATACTAGGACACCTACCCCCTTGTCAACTACCCCTAACCCCAAGGGGCACTACCTACTACCCTAACCCCAAGGGGCACTACCTACCACTCTCACCAATCCTCCCCACACCTTATTTTAAATGTTTATTTTTTTACCTTCCATTTTTTTTTTCACCTGTCAGTGTCACCTGAAACTTGTCACATCACTCACCTGTGTGATGAATTAAAATGGAATAAAATGAAAAAAAGTCTTGTGTTTGTGTGTGGAATCGAACCGTTGACCAGTCGCACCAAACCAAGAGCGCTAACCACGAGACCACAATAGAACTTGTTTGTAAGTATCAAAATGTTTGGTATGATGATCACAGACTTGTAAAATTTGAAAGAAAAAAAGTCTTGTGTCTGTGTGTGGAATCGAACCGTTGACCAGTCGGACCACTGGCTCAAGAACCAAGAGCGTTAACCACCAGACCACGGATATATCTTGTTTGTAAGTATCAAAATGTTTGGTAGTATGATCAGACTTGTAAAATTTGAAATGAAAAAATTACTTTAAATTGAATAGGTACCTATTAGGCTGGCCTAACCTAATCTAATGTTGTGCACATTGGTCTCGTTGAATTTTGTTTAAATTCTGATAGCCTAGCCTCGCCTAGCCCAGTTTTGTTTTATGTAGTAAGACACATTTGTAAAAAATTAATGCTTTTAATAAACTCAAATTACATTTATGACCTAGGCATTTTCTCGTTGCAATACAGATTTGGAGGTGACAAAGAGGATGACCATGGTACTGATTCCATAATTGTATGATGACTTATTGACTTTTTACCGAAACAAAAATACATTTCGCAGCTTTGGCACCACCTTGTAGAGAGAACACTACTTGAATAGTTTTTAAATCTTTTATTGGTATTTTGAACATTCTTGTATTGATTGAAATAAGTCTTCTTGTAGTTAGTTTCATCTTGAATGCGACTCCAATATTTTCTTGTCGTCGCATCATAATTTTCAGCCTTGGACATATCTTCATGCATTTTCATATGGCCCTCCTCATCCCATGGTTGGCTTTGATAATTGTAGAAGCATTTGTTGGCATGATATGTAACTATTGATTTTCTCAGTTCTTCAAACTTTCTCTTGTTTGGAATATCGCAACTGCTGTGCAACTAGAAAAGAAAATATTGGAATTGAGAAAAATTAATAAACAAAACCAAACTGAAAGTTTTATACCACATGTGTTGTGTCAAAGTGATCTTTTCGGATTCGTATTAGTCTGCAACGTCTATTATTGGCAGCAGTAGGATATTTAAATCGAGCATAGTCTCTAAACACAGACTCCCAATTTTTTAGAAAATTGACAGGCTGAAATAATATGTAAAAAAAAATATGATAATTGTATTGATAGATTTAGGCATAACTTACGTGAGATTAATCCACAACCTCACATAAAAGAAAGTAGACCATTTTTTTAAAACACAAAAAGAAGAAGAAAGTTAATCATTGTAGCCCCACGGAATTGTATCAGTGTATACATAGTTAACAATTCGTTTGTCGACAAAGGGACTTAATGCTGTTTTGATTTGTTCCATTGTAAAGACTTCGTGTTTTTTCGATCTTATAAAATTTTGTGGAACCTCAATAATTTTGTTATGGGAAAGACTTTGATAATAATCATCGAATGAAATGAGTTTTAATGAAGATGACTGAACACCCTTGGCTTTTTTAACAACAATATCACGATTACCTGTAGAAGAAGAAGATGAAGCAGAAGACACCTTGCTGTCATCTTGTATTTTTATACAATACATTTTGGACCGCAAACCAATAAATTCAGTCATAATTTTTCCATTATTCTCATCCTTCATTAAACCGTAAACTTTTTTATTTTTTTGTGGAATATTGTACACGTTATCATGAGCAAATTCTGACGTATCAAACATGTTGATATTTTCTCGAATGCAAGAATAGATGTCTACATCTGTAAATTGATAAATCAAACTATCAGTGTCGGTGTACAATAACTTTGCATTAGATTGAAATTTTTCCTTAATAAAATTGTAATGGAAATTATACAAAATAGTTTTCGATATATCCAAAATGGACATACCAACATAAATGGGCTTATTAAATCTTATATAATCTATCCATGTCAATTATCACCATGTCATCACCAAAAATTTCACAGCTGTTAAAATTGGGCTGCGAAATATAATAATTTGCGCCAAATTTACCCCCCCATTTAGTTACCAACTTAACATCTTTATACTTTCTCACATTTTCTATGGTCTTACCATACGGTGCGTTATTCATTAGCTTGTAGAAGTTTTTTTCAAATTCATTGTTGCTTAATTTTCGTAGTTCTGTATTCAAGTCAATATATTTTTTCAACCAAGGTGATTGACTGAATTTCAAACAGCTATGAATTTTTTTAATTTTAAGACCCAACTTCAAAACTAACTGAAACATTTTGTAATGAATAACGTACTTTTTCTTATTGTATAGTGTTGTTAGAAGCTTTGGAAGTGTAGACGCTGAAGTTGGTGGAACTAAATGTTCGGGACAAAGCGGCAAACCCATGTGAAGATCATATAACTCTTTGGGATAATCCATGTCTACCTCGAAAATATAACCAGTATCACTGTCCTCGGGTATATCAAAAATGTTGTTTTCTTGATAAATGTCTCCAATCCACTCAAAGTTACCTGTAGGTAGAGGATAGCTCATGGCTGCTCCATACAGGTTGACAACGTCAAAATACATCAGATAGGTAGATGGTTCGTTAGGATCGTGTTCATTCATATATTTATTGTTAGCTTTTCCATATCTGTTCGAACATTGTGAAATTCCTCCTCTTATCCCTTTTTCAGTGAACAAAATCATGTCAACATCTGTTAGAAGATCTAATTTCACATCAGTGATTTTCAGCATACTGTCAAAGGCTAAGCCGGGAGCAGTATAATAATGTAATGGATCCAACTGATACGTGTCCGAACAAACTTTACGAAATTTCTCAAACACATCGACAAGAAGCAAGACGTCAGTTTTCAAATACAGTTCAGCATATTCTTGAATTGATTTGATATTGAAAGTGTCCCATACGTTACAGGCATGTTTATATTCATCTTGTGAAACAGTCGAGTGGTGAGGTGACTAAAAAATTGCTCTATTGGTGGCAAACTGTTGGCTTGTAACTTATCCCAACAGTCAATATATTCATAAGGAAATACACCTTTCCTTGTAACCAACTTAAACTGTATTTCATCAGAGTAATACTGCCTAGTAACTGGTTTTTGCTTGTCGTCAAGATAGGACGCTAATTTTTCCAATTTACTAGCCATAAATCGAAATGAATCTATAAACCTAAAGCTGATATTGGTGTTTTCTATATATTTTGTGAAAGAAATGTACTTTTCCTTATTGAGAGGAAGTAGCTGAATTTTTCCCTTAATTTCTGAACAAAGAGACCTTATAATGAAATGTCTGTCATATCCTGAAAGGTTATGAAAGACCACAGGTGTCACGTGATTGTTATTGGCGTGGTATTTTAGGTTACAGGAATTATGGGCAGCTGATCTAAAGTTCCCTGTTAAATGACAGTGGTCTCTTACTTTATAATCATTTATGGAAAACGGCTTACAGCAAATATGACAAAGTGTCGCTTTAGCATACTGCTCTTTTTCTTCTCTAGTTAAGGGTTTCATTGGCACAGGATTTGAATATATTGACTGTATTTTGTTCGCAATTCTACCAAGTTCTCTAACAAACCATTGTGGACAATTTTCCCCTGTGTGCAGTTCAAATTCTGATAACGAGTCATCATAATTACATTTTAGATAGTATGCAATACTGAATGGTTCATGCTTTTGATATTTTTTCGATTTAGGTGTAGAGTTTTTATCATTATATTTCACTAGCATACTTTCCAAATCGGCATAAATGACAAAAGGTACTGGTAATTTATTTGCAAAATTTTTGAAAGTTAAAACTTGTTCATGTTCTTTTGGTAGAGTGAGTTTGCATTTGTTCAAAAGTGTGCAATCCTGTGAATGATTTTTAAGCACATTTTCAGTGTAGAAATGATTGAGACATCGCTCACAGATCCATTTTTTGTTATGAATATTAGCAAGCTGTTTATTCAAAAGACCGTTCAAATTTTTAATGCAAGCAAAATGGACAATCCTTTGTAGAGAGTCCTCAAAATAATCGGGTGCATCAATTTCTGGTTCATTGTTACAAGGTACAATTAGTAAATGAATTTTTTGCGTATAATGTTCCATTTTGCTCAGCACTAATGGTAAAATTAATGGCCAAGTTGTTCATAGATTCAAACTTTGGAATGTCCGTCAGTGCTATCGGAAATGAAATATTCCCATATTTCAATTTTGATAAAAAAGGTTTATAGGTTGAAGCACGTGAAACATTTTTGTTGATTGGTGTTTGAACCAGTGCACACAAAACAGACCAAATAAAACAATAGACATCACGATTTTTGATATTTACAACACATTTAGTGTCTTTAATGAATTTTGGTAAATCGACACAGGTGGATAAACCCACGCTAATTGGATTGTACGAGTTAATGTTGACTTTGATAAACCAAATTTCATACAGGGCCCAACCACTGTCTCTTTCTTGAAATTCCTCCAATTGTACTAAAATTTTATCCATCACATTTTTCCTGAACCAAACACTTAAATTTGTATTGTTATCAATAACAGAATTTCTAGTTGAAAAATGTTTCTCAGACTTTTCCAAGGTTTGTGGTTTTATGAATAAACCTGTAAAAACAACATTTACTTTAAGCAAAGAATTTTTCAGTTCCTTTTTAATTCGCAAAGAGAAGACCCGAAATGTTCGTTTTAAAAATTCTTGAGGTTCTTTAAATTTCAAATTATTAATAATTCCAGTTTTGATTCGCCCATTGAAACAAGAATCCAAATCCTGCCAAACTAATTTTCTTTTATTTAAACTTTTATTAGTTTTGTAATTAAATTTATACATTTGTAAGTAGTAATTGAAAATAGCCAAATTAGATTCAACTTTATGGTAACTATGTATACTGGATTTATTTTTCAAATCACTACTAATAAGTTTGATGTTTTTTTTAAATAAACGAGTGTGAATTTTGAAATCTTGTTGTGTTTTAAGTAGTCTACTTACGATTTTGGTTTTCTTCACAGCCTCACTGCTCAAACTATCTAGTGTTTGTCTGCTAGATGATGATGGAGGTGATGACGACGACGACGATGACGATGAAGAGAAAGACATTTTTTTTTTTTGTTCAATTAGGTATTTAATTTTTAGCTGCTGCTGCTGCGGACTACACTGAGTTAATTCTCTACAAAATGGTTCAATTTATACAAATTTCTTATCAATTCAATTTACATCATCATTCAGCAAAAGGATAAATTTGTTGCAATCATTTTTGTTTAATGCTGATGCAGATGTTTTTGGAAACTAACAGTAAAATTTAGGAAAAAAAAAATAATGGAAAGTTATTGATGATGTTTACAATAATTGGATGCTTGTGGCATGCAAGATTGTGTTGGAAAACTGTTTTTTCCAATTTTTTATTTCAATCAGACCTAATAGTTTTAGATTATTGGGATCGAGTAAAAGCTCTTTTTGTCTCTGCCTATATTTGATTTTCCTACTCTCGCTAGCATAAGAGGTCTGAATAAATTCTGTTTCATTGAAGCTTATTGTACGGAAACTGTGATTGAATATGAATAATGAATTTTTCCAAATGTCCAAATCGAATCTGTCCAATGTATCGACAATAAGTTCTTCGAATGAAAGAAAATTTTGACATTCGAGAAATACAAAATTGAAAACTGTGTCATCAGTCTTGACATAGTAAGAATACAAATAATTGGACATGCCGAAGGGACTTGATTGATAATAGTTTCCTCTAGTTGTTGTTGAATCGAAAATTCTGTCGCTTTTTAGAATTTCCAATATCGGCTTTTGAAAATTTTCACAATGCCAGATATTTTCTTTTTCATAATTATCTATTTCAATGTAAATATCGATGTCTCCATATTTATTGGTTTTACCTAGTAAATATGAAACAAAACCTCCTGCAGAAAAACATCTTAATCTATAACCTATCTCTAATAATAACTTATATTAAATGTTTAAAATTAAATCCAAATTTTCATTCAACGGAAAATCGATTTTTTTTGCGTTGAAAAGTAACGTTTCACTTAAATAATGGTAAGCGGCAATATTTGTTGATGGAGCTCTACACAGAAAAGAAAATTACAAGTTGGACTTATTATAAAGGAAAAAAATTTACCTTATAAATTTGGAAGGATTGACGGTAGGGCCTCAGAGTAACACTACATAAATAGAGAGGGCAAGTCATTCATAAAATCCTTTGGTTTCTGCGGCCAACAATCCTAAACGACAATAGTGAATTAATGAATGAACTACATGAAGTGGGGATAAGATTGCGGACAATGCGGGCCAATTACAAACAAAACCCGTTTGACATTTCTTACTATGAATACTAGAGCGCATTCGCAATTATGGTCGGGCTTGCTCTGGCAATATTTGCATCCTTCTTTATCTGGTTATCTTAACAAAGATAAAACGATTCAGGTGGGCGTTCCCAGATGAATACAACCAGGTTCCGAGATTTTAGGCAGTGTTGCCATTTTCAGCTAGCACAAATTCTTATTCAAATTTTATTGTGATAATAGATTATTATTTTATATAATAATTATTCCTATTCACTTTTGCAAAGCACCGCGATATTTTGTGTTATAATTGTATATACGTACCTATCTAGGTTTTTATATTTACAATATATTCTTTTTAATTTCCAATTCCATTTTCCCTGCAACTTAGGATAATTTATAAATATGGCACATCTACAGTAAGTGTCCGCAAGTGAGCTTAGAATGGGAATCAATGTTTGGGGCATTTTTTAATCATATTAAACCTATCTATTTCATGTGTTAATCTGAGGGTAGGGCTTTTGATTTCAGCCATGATTTTCTTCGGTAAACTTTTTTTTCTTCACAAAATTAAAACAGTTGAGTTTTTTTTTTCAACTCGCAAACGAATAATAAAATAATGAATTCTAATCTTGAATTTATACATAAAAAATATTTGGCTTGTGCAGAAATTATACATTGTATTGATTAAGTTGTTTTGCGTGATAATAGAAACGAAATTATTCCAAAATTCAAAGTTATCGATAACAAATGAATCCCTTACTTGGCAAAATTTCAACAGCTTACTTTGTTGTGTTCCTATGCGAATCTTAAATTGATAAACAAAAAATACTTGACTTGTGCAGAAATTATACATTGTAGTAAAGTTATTTGGATGTAATAATGATAGAAACGAAATTTTCCATAAAATTGAGAGTTAGCGACTCAGTAAAATGATACATTATATTTTACTAGATTGACGTCAATCAATTTATTACTTTATCAAAAATTAGGAATACTTTTTTCGTTCAAATTAGTATTTATATTGAGGATCAGTTCATGGTGTTACAGTTAATCCAGTTCTTCTTCTTCTTCGACACTAAGATTCAACTAGCAAACAAAAAAAATGGCAAATGTACCATGTACTCTGGTCGTGATGACGGGTGACAAAATTAATTTTCCAAATAGTGATGTTTTGGTTGTAATGAGAGAGATGTTTCAGTGAGTATTTTTTTTTATATCAATATTTTATTTATTTTCTTTCAAATTTGAAATTGTACCTTGGCTTTTTTTTTCTTCAGATATGGTGTTAAGGAAATTGTTGAGCGGGACGGTAAGGTCTATGTACACTTAACCTACTCGCCCAAAGCTATAACCATGAAGCGGAAATTTGGCAATCTGCCTCTACGTTATATGAGGACAAAGATAAATAACGAGGCAGATTTCAAAATTCTGGAGATAGGTCGTGAAGCGGTATCGTTTCAATCTCTTAGATGAAGAACCCAACGAGGTGGCTGCTATTGTACAGCAAAGTAGTGGTGTTGGTAGCAGCTCGAAGAGGAAGCTGAATATGGAAGAGATATACTTGTCCTCGTCAGATGAGGACGATGCTGCTGCTGCTGCTAGTGTCAAAGAGAACAACAACAACACGAAGAGAACCAAGACAGAGGAGGTATTATCTTTATTATCCGAGGCGGCTGCAACTATGGACCAACCTGGAACTAGAAGCAGCAGCAGCAATAGTCATCAGTGAGTACATGCCTACCCAGTTATTGTTGTAAAAAAAAATAAAAGACTGAAAATATGTTTTAATATATTTTATTCACAAACCAATTATTCAATAGAAAAACATTTTCTCTGGTACAAAATAGATTATTGATAGAATGTGTATTACAATGTAGTGAATTTGGAAACAATACAGTTTTTAACTTTTTGAAATTTGGACATCCCAAGCTATCCATATCGACTACATGATTATTTATCAAATTACAGAGCCACACTTTTTTGTTGAAACCTTTGACAAAAACAGTGTTATTTTGAACAATTTCTTGTATAAAATTTGCGATATTTTCCAAAGGTAGAAAACTAAAATTAAAACTGTTCCAATCCAGTCCGTGCAGGTTTTGGGTATTCCACTGAACTTGACGTCTGAAGTTTTCATTGAGCCATTTACTTGGAATTGGTAAATTTATAAAATGATGGTATAGCTGACCAGTTGCCTGATTTAAAATTGCAATTTCCTTGCAAACGAAATCACTGTCTTTAAACTGGAAACCTTGTACGTCTAAGATGATCATTTTCTTTTTTCTTTATTCACTTTCGCTAGAGTCTAAAGTACACGCACTGTACTGGTCAAGGGATTGTATTTCACTAGTCGATCGTGGAGAATCAAACAGTAAGCTGTGGTGTTTGCTTGAACCGCTTTTTTCGTTTCGAATTCTACACGAATATCAACAGCACCACCTTTTAGAATGTCTTCACCTTGCCGAGAGCAATCAATGACTACTAGAGGAGCATCTTGTTTGAAATTTATAGGATAGAAGCATGGTTCACTTTGCTCACGATAATAGTAGGATTTTTGGAATTGTGCATACATTTCATATAAGATTGCAAAATGATTGGAGTCAAAGTCCAGGTTGAGGTTATCGTAGGGATAAACTTCTGAGTTTAAATAGACTTTTAAATTTGTCAACGTTATGTGGTCAAATCTGCTCATGTTTTTCGATGCAACATTTTTTCTATTTGTTTGGAATCCAATAATGATGAAACGTGTTTTTTCCAACTGATTGGTGGACTTAACAGCCCATGTATGATTTGTTGTACTTTGTAGTTGTGGATATTCGTGCAATTCCCAGCTTCTAAATGCAATATTTAAGTCCAAATTTTCCTCAAAAAACTTATAAAGACGTAATTTTTGATCATCAGACACTCTAACATGTGGCATTTTCCATAAAATTTTACTTAGCGTCACTTTGTATGTTTCTTTTTTATCTTCTTGTTCACTGAGAGCATTGACGTCAGAATTACTTCTTATCAATACAAGTTCCTGTCGCACATTCAAAATAATCTTATGATGATCCTCAAAAAATCCCATTAGAATTTTTAGAGGTATACATGCATTGAAATTTCCGTTTCCATCCAAAAGTGCTGGATTTGATTTGGCATCCCAACCAGCATTTACCAAAACATTATTTTCGCTTTCCTTGAATGAAACATAACCTTTCATTGTCGACGTAATTCCAGGGTTTCTTACACGATCAACAATAACGCCTCCCAATTCATATAGTCCAGGAGGTGGCGCCAAAAATATGCAAGAGTTTTCGCAAGGCGGATATTTTCAAAATAGGTCGTACTTTAGTGCTAGAATGCTAGTGTACAGTCAGCACTCACAGTTCCGGGACAGCTGGCTCTGGGACGCGGGCACAGTTGTAATTTTAGGAAGCATCTAAACTGTTTTCTCAAAGCTCAAAATTTATAGAAATTTTGCACATTATCTGTTTGAAGGTCACAGATAACGTATGTAAATCGTCAGACGTCTAGTTCGTTGCAAAAAGGGGGTCAGACGTCCTCAAAGTTTTTATTTTATGGCATTTTCTTCAAATATATTTGTCAAATACCTGCAAAAATATATTTTGACAGGACACCGAAGAAAATGCCATAAAATAAAAACTTTGAGGACGTCTGACCCCCTTTTTGCAACGAACTAGACGTCTGACGATTTACATACGTTATCTGTGACCTTCAAACAGATAATGAGCAAAATTTCTATAAATTTTGAGCTTTGAGAAAACAGTTTAGATACTTCTTAAAATTACAACTTTGCCCGCGTCCCAGAGCCAGCTGTCCCGGAACTGTGAGTGCTGACTGTACACTAGCATTTTAGCACTAAAGTACGACCTATTTTGAAAATATCAGCCTTGCGAAAACTCTTGCATGTTTTTGACGCCAGCTCCCCAACTAATAGCGAATTTCATCAAATAAGTGGGCCAATTTAATAAAGCTTACATTGTTGCTGAACGTTACGTTATCAGACAATAAAAGTTTACCTTCAATATACAAAAAACTTTGGCTGGGTAATGTATAAACATCCTGTGTCTGTATTGCAATTCGGATTTCATCATTGTTATTGAATGTTGATGATGTGTAGGGTTGATGTGTGTGCAATTGATAACTTACAATTGAATTATCATATATGACACTTTCGCTTACTTTCAGAATATTACGACTCATTTTCTTCTTTTTCAAATTCTTCAGTACACTTGAAATTACGTCTAATAGATAGAATAATTCTTCTTATGCTACAACCCACTCGTAGTTTAATTTTGACCCAAAATTGTATAAATCTCTTTTTTATCGAAATGATGACTCTACTGCACTTTTAACTTGAAGCCTAACGAAATCAAAAAGTTTTTATTTTGCACTGTTAACTGTTACGTTTGACTGATTTTCCAACACTGAAGCGATTTCCCTTTAGTGACTTATTTTTAAAGGCTTTTTGTGTTCTGGACTCGTTGGTCGTTGTTGTTGTTGTTGATGTTGTTGTTGTTGTTGTGTTGTCGTCGTTCTGGTTGTAATCATTGTTATCGGAGGGTGCACATGAATTATGATTATATAAAAACACCATTTTTTATTTTTTGTTTCCACTATGACGATTTTCTCAAATGCAATCGAACAGTTATCAATTCACTGCGGAAATTAATGGCTTCTCCACTTTGATCGGTAATTTTCAATAAAATCTGATCAATGTTTCGCGTACTGATTGGTAAATAAATGACATTTGAGGGTTTTCAACAATTTTAAATCCTGTTGGTGAGGTGGGATAGAACATGTGCAGTATATGAACCGGATCACCGTTATTGTAGGAATTTATCACTAAATTACACTCAATACAAATTGCATTGACCTTGAAGATATCCACTGGGTTCTCCGACACGTGTCTTCTATTTGCTTCAAGTTGTTGACTTTTGAATCCCAATAAACTTCCAATAGAATTTTTCTTGTTAAAATGTATATCTTTGTTGCACAAAATTTCACACTGTAATGTGTTGTGATTGGCGAGTATGCTTATTTTTAAATCATCTTCTTTATTATTGTCTATTACGTAGGCATTCAAGTAATCAACTGTCAATGTTCGGTATGGAATTGTAACTCTCAAAATTGATAAGACCCAAATCGAATTGTTCGGAATCGTTAAGAACTATAGGTGGATGAATATTTGCAGAAAGGTTCGCTGATCTCCCCGACAACGTAAACGTATACGACATGTTTACTATTGAAAAGTCTACTTATTAATAAAAGACAAACTAGTACATTTTGAGTTTTTATTTGGTTTTACAATGATATAAAAAACTTAAACATAAATGACCACAATTTACAGAATTATACGATTGATAAGGATTTTGGTTATAAAATATTTTTCCTACAGCCGTGCGGAAAAATCGATTTTCCGCACTGATATGCGTGCGGAAAATGAGTTTTCCCGCACGGTGCGGTAAAACTTTTACCGCACGCATATCAGTGCGGAAAAAGTTTTGCCGCACGGCTGTCAGTGCGGAAAAAATTTTACCGCACTGATATGTCAGAAAAAAAAAGAAAAATTTTACATTTTTTCGCCTGTAGGAAAAATATTGTACCTAACACTTGCGGAAAATATTTTTCCGCACTCGGCTGCATCACCGAACTCCGCTACGCGTCGTTCGGTGAACGGCAGCCGCGTACGGAAAAATTCATTTTCCGCACTTGTTAGGTAAATAGCTATTACCTACGAGCGTGCGGTAAAGTGCACTTTACCGCACGTCTTTGCAAATGGAAAGTATTACTTTACTTTACTGCGGTAAAGTTAACTTTACAGCATAGTATGCGGTAAAGTGGACTACAAAGTGTGCGGTAAAGTGCACTTTACCGCATAGTGTGCGGTAAAGTAAAATTTGATATTTTTAATCAGAAATCCTCTCTTTTTCAGAAAATGAATTTTTGGTCATTTCTTTATCTAATCTAATTTCATTAATTAATCTGATTCAATGATTAATTTTATCAATGCCTTTTTTTAGAGATGTAGATGCTCATAGGTAAAATTTTGTACCTAACACATGCGGAAAGTGCCTTTACCGCCCTTAACGGCTTGACCAAACTCCGCTCCGCGTCGTTCGGTCAACTGCCGTTGCGTGCGGTAAAGTATCACTTTCCGCATTTGTTAGGTAAATAACTATTACAGTCGCCATTTGAATTGAAGTACTTGACCGATTCCAAAGGTGGTCGCAAATTGCCAAAACTATCAAAATAGTGGATGTTTTTACCAATTTTTTTATATGTTGTCCAATGAGTTCCAACACCTGTGCTGTTATCCAAATTGATAATACCAGATTCGTTTTTGTGTATTTTCATTGTGGGTAACTGATCCTTCATGAATACACCACGAAAATGTTTCAGTTTCAGTAACTTTGCATATTTTTCCAAATCAATGTTGGATAGAGCGCTATGTTGTGGTAGCTTAACAGGTAATGCTTTTTTAAAAATTGTCAAGGTATTTTTTTCTGACATCCTCCTTGGTGTAAAAAAAGACCCAGACCAGTTTTGTATGGTTTAAAAAAAATAATCCTTTACCCATGGCAATGGATTCCATCGTTTGATTATGACGTTGATTCTCCTTCAACTGTTGATTGGCGGACTTGGCATCATTAACAGCTTTAGCAATCCCTGCGGCTCCTCCAGACACCGCGCCCAATGCTGAAAAACCGGCAAATATTGGTATTAATGGAAGAATACCACCAGTTTTGGGTACTCTAATTATTCGAGCTGGTCTAATTTTACCTTTAGATTTTTTAATACTTTTTAAAGCAACTTTGATTGCACTTTCCAAATCTTTCGGGTTTTCACGCTTTAAGCTATCCTTCACTGTTTTAGTTACATTGCTAAAACTAATCTTTTTTTTTCCTCGTTTATTTTGTTGACTTCTCCTTTTAGTACCAATACGGGAATGTTGTGGACGTTTAATTTGTTTTCTTCTGTTTGCTTTTCGTGACTTTTTTTTTGTTACCAGCAGCAGCAGCACTAGTCATTATTACCTCTACTTATATTCAAGGCTTACACAAGACTAAGGAAAATGTAGTTAAATTGGAATTTTTATCTAATATTTTTTTTGTTTTTTGAATGTTTCATCATCATCATCATCATCATCATTATCGAATTTCCTTTTATTATTGTTATCTAATTGGTTTGTTTCCATTTTTAACAATTTTGATGGAATATCGGTGGTGGTGGTGGAAGTGTGATCAATTTTCCTTTTTTTAGGTAATTTTATAATTTTCCTTCTTTTGATTTTAAAACCATCCAATTGTGTTATAGATTCATCATTTTCAAGTTTACGTTTTTGGGTTTTTGTATTAATTATTTTTCTTTTTTTCACTTCTTCCTCTTCTGGTTTAAATCCATCAACATCAACATCATCATTATCAACAAATTTACGTTTTACTGCACGCTTATTTATTTTTGGTTTAAGATCAACTCTTTTAACAATTTTATTTTTTTGTGTTTTTTTTATTGTTGCTTTTTTTGAGTTATCTGTTATTTGTTTCTCTAGCCAATCTAAAGAGTTCA